GGGGGGGGGGGGGGGGGGGTGCAACGCGAATCACATATCAGTGGAAGCATGCTGGCATCGACGCTATAGGATACGAGGCCTTATGTGGGGTTAATACTCTCCGAGAATTCGTTTTGACTTTGATAACTGTTGGTTTTTGGAGGGTTGTCACGAGAAATTTACATCCTCAGTACTACCACTACTACGAATAAATGATATTACTGTGGAATATTCCGTTTTCTTTTTATATGCTTATATGCTTTCAAATCATATATTTGTGTACAAGTTTGTATTCTCCCTAGTACCTCATTTTACATATCTAGTTTCATCTGCTATCGTCACTGCATCGAAAATATTTCATAACCTCGCCATGTTGTTTAAACTGAAGAGTTCGCTCAACCGCCATGTCGCATTAATCGATGTTTAGAATTTAAGGCACGACTTTCCTGCTTAGAATAAGCTGTTTTTGTTCGGACTTTGTACAGAGACGCAAATTGGCTAGTGCGGACAACTTCAGATCATATTGTAAATGGTACTTTCTGTTAAACTGGTTGAAATAAAGTTGTAATGTACAAGTATTGTCCAACATCGAGACTCGCGACTAAAAGAACTACAAACACTTGGAACAACGAATTCATATTCTCCCATGTCATTGTATAAACACATTTTGCTACTAGTTCTATAGTGACTGAGGAAAATTACCCATTTATACTGAAGTGGTTGTTTGTTTTGTGGTTACCTGATAAGGCTACATCACTGACTGAGAAAATATATCGGATAAGAAATTATGAGAATGATGATAAATTATGAGTCGGAAGGGAGGAGAAGTGAGTTCCTTCGGGCACTTTGTACACCATTACTCACGCTGTTTGAAGAAATATAGTCGCTTTCCAACACCGCATTCATCGTCTTACAGTCTCCCACTTAGCCTGTTTATGCCTATAGCGTATCAATACTGGACGCAAAATATCCGTGAGCCTTGTCTCCGTCACAGTAAGAGAGGAAGGGAATTTTTAAATGGCATGGATGGATCAAGACTTCATTTGCGCTATCGCTTCCTCGACCTCCCCGTTCGTGGGATGGTTTTTGACTGTCAACTCAGCCTCCTCTACAGTGGGTACCGGGGTCCTTTCCCGGGGGTAAAGCCGGCCGGGGCGTGAAGCTGACCACTCACCCCCATCTAGTGCCGAGGTCAAGGAAGAGAGGGGCTATACCTCCACTCCCCCCAAGCGCCTACATGGCGTATAGTGGGACAGCTTTACTTTTACTTTATGAAACTCGAAGTTATCTTGCGACATGAAAACTTCATCTCAATAATAACTAAAAATCTCTGTTCCAGCCTCAAAGAAATTACAACGTGTCTCCATTACAAAAACAAGTGGTGCACGCAGTTTAGAGAAATAATTTCCGTTTATTCTGATAATCGTTCGAAGCCCAAAAACACACTGAAGGCAAAATGGAGATTTTTCAGTTTTTACACTGCGATGAAGGTGTCGAAATTTGTTCTCTGGAAACTTTGGTATCTGCCATTTTCATTCCGATCCTTGTGTGCATGTAGCACCGATCTAAGAGGTCTTAGTCGTTGAGTTTATAGATAAATTAGTGGGCTGTTAGCATAGCGTGTTGATTTCCTTTGCATCCTTGTTTGTTGCGAAAGGAAGGAAGCGAGCAAGCTCTTCTAACAATGAACCCTTTGTGAATGGGTTTCCTCGTGAATTTCCTGTGTTCTTAGAATATCGTGCGTATGGAATTTTAATTTGCTGCCGGTTGTGCATTTTTATGTGGGATGCCCTGAAATTTGTGTTACATGCAAAGGCATTCTCCACTGATAACGCTGCAAACAGTAGTTTCTAACAAGCCAAGTGCTCCACGCTTTCTCTACGTCTTCGTAGTTTGCCCTAATCACGTGACTGGCTTCTGGTTTACGTTGCCCAATTCAGCATTCAGTCAGACGCTACAAACTGTGTTGTGTAAATTAATTATAAAACGTGTTATGCTTCTGAAACTAGATTACTTCCTCCTGTCAGCAGTGGCTTTAGGGTGGGTAGGTGAAGGGATGTTAAACTCAACTTATTATTACTTTATACGACTTTTTTATTTTTTATACAGGTATTGATATTTTTCTCAAACAAGTTTCTCTCACAGTTAACCATTTTATTATGCAATTGCTACTGACAAGTGTATTCTGAATTCTTACATGTATATATTAAGATTTCTGTCTTTTGGGTTGTTGCGCCGTGTAGTCTGGTAGATGTTTGCCAAAGTTTCAGAGATCATCCTGCCTCCGTCAACAGGGCGATAGCGCAACAACCCAGAAGACAGAAATCTTCATACTTACCGCTGTGAAAACCTCAAATCATACATGTATATATTAAATAATTATGTCGTGTGTTATTTTAATTCCTTCTAGTATTATTTCGTTTTACATTCTCTTGTTTCTGTTTAAATAATGGGTAGGAAACTGGTTTTTTCACACAGGAAATCTAGATGTTCACAGGTTTTTAAATATAAAAGTGTAATTCTAATTTCGGAAGATGGGATGAAAATTATACTCGAGTTTCGTTGGAACAGTAATATGCGTCAGTGGGTCTTCCCCCACTTCAGTTGAAAACACGCAACTTTAAAGGTTAATTGTGCAAAATTGCGCAGGATGCACTTGTAAATTGTGTGCAATGTCTCTCCCGTGTGTTTTCGAGAGCGGAAAATTCTGTGAAGCGGTTTTTTTGGTCTTGCACTGCGTGTTTAAACACAGGCTCTTAGTTTGCTCGCGGATCACATTTCTAATGCAAGAGATAGCAGCATCCCGCCCCTTGACACAGTTTAGTTATCATTTGATCTTGATTTCACTCAACATTCTTTCTTACCTTGTGCGTTTATTTCTGTTGCAGGTGAGTTGAAATCCATGTCTCTTCCGAGAGCATTTGTCGAAGAGAAATGCTCTGATAGAGGTAAGAAGCAATTAAGTTCTTTTGTGATTGTAAATGAAACTCTCGAGTAACTACTGTTCTTGTAAAAATGTCTTATTAAGAAGGGAAAGCCGTGCTCGTGCGTTATAAAGTAACCGGCGCGAAAGATGGTGGCTGACTTTTTGACGCTTCTGTGCGTCACTGTCACGTGCCGTAGTGAGCCAATCAGCTTCGGAGAGTTGGTGTAAAAGTATTCAATGGCGTCAAGCGTGAAGCAGACGCTATTTGTATGTCTCTGTCTCTCTCTGCGACACTCGTCTTTATTTCTGTTGGTCATTTCAGTGCCGAATGAATTATGATTCAGAATTTGAGTGATTTTTAGACTCTCCGGTTCAATGCGTTGACTTCATTACCTTGTGTTACAAAGGACAATGTGTTTGAAGTGAGATGAAGTGGGCTTCATACCATTAATATATATTCGTACAAATCCGGCATTAATCTCGTTTAAAAACAGTTCCGACCTCATTCATAACTTATTTAGTCATACTGGAGCAGTTAATGTGTTTGCTGTAATTTAAACTTAGTCTGTGCAGTGGATATTAATTACAGTAGGATTACTCACTCTAACTGAAATAATTATTACACAATCATATCAGAGACATGTTTATAAACTCAGTAAATCTGTATATTCAGGTTAGTGAAGTGTCTTTATTCGATTTGAATTTATTGGGCGGACTTACAGTGTTATAAATTATTAAACTCGCTTCAGTGGTACCAACAGAAATTATTGTTTACGTTATGAAGTTTTTTCTGTAGCTGTCATCAGGTATTAAACCCAACTTAAATGCAACCGGAATTTTAATGGTTCGAGAACATAAATCCACACATGGATCAAGGAATTGCGTGTGTCTGTTGAAGTCGATGAAATGACATTGAAACGCATTGTGTATTAATTTGTATTACTTTTAAGAACTGACTATACTTGCTGACTACATAAATGCATCTATGACTTATGTAGATTTGTCGTGGCAGATAAAAGTAGGCCCAAAGCTACACGTATTATATATATAGATACAAATTTTTCTTTCGAGATCATGCAATTTTGTCTTAATCTTTGCATGTGAACTGTCTCCTTTGTGCGTAAGAAAAATAGTTCGTGGCATACAGAGTAAGTAATTTCTTTGGTTTGAGCGATCTTTTATCACAATCACGCGATATATTTTCACGAGTGAAAATGAACACTTTTAAAAGGCAGGATACGATAATGTAACCCCCTCCACGTGGCTTGTTTTTCGTTTTTGTAGGCAGGACTGCATGTACGCCGTACTTCGATGGCTTCGACGAGTATTGTTTGGTGTGATAAAGTGTAACTTTTGTGTCAAGCATTACCGGGTCATTGTGTTAACGTGCTGGATTGCATTGGGTAGTGGTCTACTGCCATTCTCATGGGAGGTGTCGTGCGAACCTTGCCGAATTCAACAAAATAAAATTATAATGGGACGTTGTTTTTGCCTGTTCCACACGCAAAAGTATGACCCTCAAACTTTTGAACTGACTTCGATTAAATTTGGTTGACACGGGGTGTGGGAAGGGGTGTACATTGAAAGTTATTCTACAGATGTAATCGAACACTATCATTTTCTTTAAGAACGGTGCGTCGTAAAAAGACAAAAACAAGATGATAATATCTGTATTACATTATGATATCGGCCCACAGCTTTTATTTTAAATATCGTTTTCAGATAATGACCATGAACTACTAAATTGGGAAGCACAGATTTAAGTATCGTATGTGAAACCCTTCTGCTTATATATTTTGCTAAACTTTCGGTTTGCTGTTTACATCCTTTATATAGAACTTTGAAATGTTACCAAGGGCGTATAGCCCATGAATGGTATTTGCATGCAATTATAATTGAAACTGGGATATTCCTTTGATGTTTCGAAATAGTTATGCAGGACTGAACTCTCTAGTGCATATGCAGATTTACATACTTATAAGTACGGGTCTAACCATGGAAAAGGATTTCTGTCTTCCATGTATGTATATATCACACCTGTCAAGCTGATGTTTGTTGCTACAGCAGGGGTTTCCAGAATTTTTCACGACTAGGTCACTTTTGTCAGTAAACTATGTTTGTGGACCGGATTGTGAAGGTCATTTTTAATATGCGAGACCAGTGGCCCATACAGATGTAGACTATTTTTATATTAAAAAGTGGAAAAATTAATTGGGCGAATTAGGGATATTACAGCCAGTAGCGGGTCTACTTTGGAGATCTCTGCTGTAGAGTATAGAATGAAATACGCGTGATGTGTCTGCTGACAAATGAAAATAATTGCTCATTATTCCATCGCTCAGCATATTCGGTTAGTCCTTAAATATAGGTCACCAAGAACCTCTGAATATATTTCTCGTTAGACGACGTAATTTTGACTCGTTTTGATGAACAGAAGTCAAGTCACTTCTGAGCTCTGTAGCCCGCCCGGCCCGAATCTTGGTGTACTCTAGAATAAAAATTTACTTGGATATTATCCATCGTCTAGTAAATATAAAACGTAAAACGACGTTTCGGAGATAGGGATTAGCTCTATCTAGTGGGCCCAACTGTGTAGGAACCTGAAGACGGAGATAGAGTCCCATCTCCGAAACGTCGTTTTACGTTTTATATTTACTAGACGATGGATAATATCCAAGTAAATTTTTATTCAATTGACTCTTCACCATCGTCAAGAAGTTTTAGATTTGGTGTACTCTGTTTTATATTTGTTTAAAGCTGTAACTCCTTGATTGTCTATCATACCATCATCGCATTGCCATTTCATAGTCATCATACCGTTCGATGCTGTTTCGCTTGTGATAGAGGTGAATAGCCCCAGAAGGCGTGATAGTAGCGTTGTAGGTCTCTGTGCTAGTGTGCTGTCTCCTAGGGAGTAATATCGTTACTCATTCGATACTCTTTGGATTCAGCGTGGCCGGCGCAGGACTTTGACCACTCACCCCCACCTAGTTGCGAACTTAAGAATGAGTAGGAGGTATACAACGTCTCTCCCCAAGCGCCTACATGGCGTGTAGCGTTACAGCATGTACAGCCATCAATCGAAAAAGTGTGTTGTCCACCACGGAAGCAGTTCGCTAATAAACTAGGGAACTAATTTGATAAGATAATGTAGCGTTGTGACATATGCAAATAAAGGTAAACATGGTCTCAAAATATGTCCTTGGAGAGTTTAAATGAACATGTAATAAACATCTCTCTCTTCATAATCGTTTCGGTTGGTCGTGAAAGTAGAAATTCCAATTAACACCCCCCCCCCCACACCCACACACAAATGGCAAATACTACGTAACCATGTGCTGGGTCGATAATTCCGTTGAAACACTGATAATAACTTTTTGTGACCTACATAACGGGCCGTTTTAATCTACGTAATATTAAATTTAATAGTTTGTCATATATCCCTAGATTTTATCGTTCTGTGTTGCAACACAGCTAGGTTCATTTGTTGTAGAAGTTGTTTTTCTCGTGAGAAATTATAGCATGCTAAGGTTGGCAGGTCTGTACACGAAGGGGCTATAAAATAGCTGAAAGTCACCTATTACCAAGGCCTCTTTGTAATATCAGTGCGTGATGCAACAGCAGATCCGTAGGTGGTCATAATATTGTTTCCTTCTTCTTTTTCTTCTTCTTCTTCTTCTTCTTCTCTCTCTCTCTCTCTCTCGTACGTGAAAGAAAGAAGCAGGTGAATGATTCATGCCGGGGAGGAGTGTATCTGTGATTTTTAAATGCTTACATTAACGTTATTTATTTAATATGTGTCAAGTTTCCGTTGTGCGTCTCACATCTCAGAATTTTGCTCGTATACGTTAGTTTTAAAATATTTGATTGTTGTGCGTAAGATAAAATCAATATCTGACACTGCGGACTGTAGTCAAATGTGGCAGATATAGTCGTTCTGAAGAATCCACAATAACAGAATTTGCCACAGAAAAGGTTAAATTCGCTTTTCCTTGTCCTTCCAATGGTATTAGCTGTATTAGCATAAGCGCTGTGCGTTAAACTAAAGTATTTTCCCTCTGCAGAGTGTATTTTCCCTCTGTTAGAGTGGACAGATACAAGAGGATGAGCTGGCTCACGTGACACATGAAAGAGATGAGAAATACATTTTTGTGCAGAAAACCAGAACGTGGAAGACCTAAGCGTAGATGTGGAATTCGTCTGATTCTTGACAGGTATCAGTGGCGTTCTCTTGTGAACGTTATCACTTTCGGGTTTTATAAACAGAGCGAAATTTCTTGGCTGGCGGAGAGGCACTTTTCGTTTTTCTAGATGGACTCCGGTCTGCTGGCACTCAGTTTTGGAAAATAATTTTTCTTGCCCTAATTTTGGCCACGTGTACACTTGACAGTAGCAGCGGGAGTGAAGAAAAAACACTTTGCGTAAATGATCTTAACGAAGGACATATTAGTAAATTGTACACTACAATGAAATTTTCCTAGAATATAATTTTGGAATTAAGTGTGATTTTCGTGTCCTAGATCTTGATAAGACGGTTGAAGAATATTAAACAATTCTGACTTTATGAAGTTAGTACCAGCTTTGTATTTTTTTAATCTTCAGAACTCACTGCTCTGACATTAATCTTCGTCTTCATGTAGCCACTTCCGTTGACTTCGCACCGAAAATGTAAGACTGTAAACAGCGAGTTTATAATGAAGCAAGAAAAAGTTCATGGAACTAAGTAACATTTACTTGAACAAGGATGATGGATGAGTCCCATCATTGCGGGAGACAATATGTCACACTCCCTGCACTGATAATGCATTGTTATAATGAAAAATTTGTCGTAATATTTTAACGGAGAAGTTCGATAAATTAGTTTCTGTAATGGCTTCAGTCCGTCTACCAAATTTTCCAGAAATAATTAGAATTGCATGTCCCCTTCTTGCTTTCCAAAGTTCTGACTGCACGTAGCATTCGCCTGTACCTGTTTTATGTGTTTTTTGCATGAAGTGCATAGGGAGAACCTTTTATGAATTG